ACGGCTTGGCTATCGCAGGCATCCTCTCGCTACACGTGACCTTCTTTGCCAGCTTGACCTTGCTGCGAAGCCCAGGCAAGGCGGCCAGAGCGAAAAAGCAAAAAAGACAGCGAAGCAGCTGGAAGGTGTCTTGAGCACGCTCCTGGAGCAGCTTGCCCAGAGGTGGTCGCGTTGCCAGACGAGGCCGTCCTCAAATTGCTCAAGGAGATGGAAGCGGCGGAGCCTTCGACGCAACGAGCAGGTGAGATTTTGACATTGTTTTCCTCACAAACAAAAGACAAAAGAGTTCAAACAACACTTCAGGCGCCAGGGTCTTGGTTTGTTTACTAGGACGTTGCCACCTAATAGCCTTTCGCCTTTTGCCTATAGCACGAGGCGGCGCCGCTGAACAGCCGGCCACGAGCAGCGCTGAGCAGAGAGCCAAAGAAGCAACAGCCAAGGCCAAGGTGACAGCTTCGGACCCTGCTGCGGCAAAACCAAAGGCGCCTGCCAAGCCTGAGGTCAGATGACATTCAATGACGCTTATCTAGACCAGAGATTTGCCGGCGTAGCTGTAGATAGCAGGCCCCGAGCAAGAGAAAAGCTCAAGCAAGCGCGCAGTCTTGGGGCTTGGGTCGAAGTCAGATGGCTTGGCCCCGGCCTCAGTGTGGTACGATGGTATGCTATGTCATACGGCACTTTCGGCGGGGAAGGCAAGCGCACAGTCTTTCTGGGGTGGTAAACGTCCGTTGTTTAAAAGTTGGAGTTGTCATGTGGATTCTTCGCGGGCTAGCCTCTTTGCTTACTTGCTACCTTGAGCGTGCGTTTGCTTGACTGTCATGCAGCACGCCTTGCCTAGCCTTCTTTTGTTTGATGGTCGATTTCCCCATGTAGCCGTCTCGGGCCAAAGCGCGCGTGGGGCTGGGCCTTGCGGCGCGTGGCTTGGTGGACATGGTGACCAGGACGCTGAAGTTGTCCCACTCCCTGGACTCCGAAGCAGAGCGCGAGTTGCAGGCGGAGAGGCAGGCGCGAGTTTTGTGCGCGGAGAAGCTCTCGAGGGGCTCTTGGCTACGAGCCGTGGCAGAAGAGAACGCCGCGGGCTTCAAGCCATGGAGTGCAGCCGACGTGGTTGCAGTATCACGGACCCTCACTTCATGATCGCTTATCTGGAGTTCAAGAGGATCGAAAGGCTATTGCGAATGACGGTACCACCGCCACCTCCGCCACAGTTGGTACTACCTCCTCCACCTCCACCACCACCACCGCCAGTGAAGATTCTTCACCCGCAGTTTATGCCCTCATTGCGGACTTCAACTACTTCTTCCTCCCGAGGACAATCTTGCCCGGCTACTATGAGCAGTGCCGACCAATTCAGTGCTGATGATCTTCGGAGTCTCACGCGTACCCCGAAGCGCACTCGCACATTGAAAGCTACTGCATCAACCTCTGCAGAGCATTCTTCTCGACGACCCTTCACCGTGTTCACTCCCAAAAGGTCTACTCGTGCAACACGGTCCAGAACTACAAGATGCAAGCATTACTGCCATGCCTTTCTACATCATGGACGGAAGTGTCTTTCTCTCTGTGTGCGACGTCAACTAGGACATTTCCATTGCAGATGCGCACGTCATCAACGGCGGTGAACCGGTGCCGAAATGCCCTACATGCTTTGTCGCTGCATCTAGCCTTGAGTTTGAAAAGTAGTTCTGCGTTTCGTTGCTTGCTGACTGTGCATGGCTTGCCTGTCGGTTATGGCATGTTTGTTCTATCGCAGACCCTTTGCTTCATAGTGACGCATCCGGTTGTCATGCTGCCGCGCTACTTTGAGTACCACATTGAGCGCGGCCCGGCGAACACACGAGTGGAATGGATTCGTGTTTGCACACCGGGCATGTGGCAGCCTGTGGCAGAATCCACCTTAGGCCCGGCCCCGGACCGCGCGCCCACATATCGCGAATGGCGCAGAGTCTACCACTTTGACGTGTACTTGCCTCGTGACAGCACAGGAGGCACCACTACCGATGCGCTCGCAACACCGGTCTCCTACGCATCCTATCACACATGGCAATTTCGTGAGTGGCACGCGGGGATACCAACGCCTTGGTGACCCACGTCCATACATTGGATCGACAGATTTCGTGTCCGATGGATTGTCGTCCTCGTCGGCGTCTTCAGTTCCTGACGGCGCGTGGCGTGAACCTTCTCCCCCGCCGAGCTATGGTCCTAATTTTGACTGGGACGAGTGATATTGATGCTTGGACTGAATGTTGTTTAAAACATTGCGCTTGTTGAGTCTTGCGTCTTGAGTGCATTGCCTGCGGCCTTTAGATTGATTACCTTGTATCACGCTCCGTGTGCACCTTTGACTATCATCATGCCGTGGCTAGAACGGTGCCCTGACCCTCAGCGACCTGACGCTCAATGGGTTAAGATTTTTCATCCAGCATCATGGACACCACAGGACGAACGTGATGATTCTCCTCCACGTCATACGTACAGGGAATCCAAATCATGCGCGCAGGTAGCTCACCTTCTTGGAGTCGGCTCACAGTCCAGCCCGGAGAGGCACGTTTGTGCAGCTAGCTGCCGGCGTTTTCTTCTGGCAGGGCAACCCTGAGCCTCCAGATTCGCTCGTTTTCGGTCGAAATCGCTGTGCTTGTTTTCTGCCCGGAAAAGCATGCAAATTCCATCCCGCCGAGCTTGTCACCGTTCGTCACCGCTTCGTCGCCGCTCTCTTTTGGGTCGAAAAAGTGCGCAAAAGCGGCCCAGTTCCTGAGGACTTTGTTCTTCGCAGGGTTTTCCGCGGCACGACAGCCAGCCGAGGACCTGGCTCATAACGCGGCAGCCCGCCGAGGTTTCGGCTTGTGACACGTCAGCCCGCCGAACTTGTCACCGCCTTTGTCACCGCTCTGTCTGGCTCCGTTTTTGGTGCAAAAAGCGCTCAAAACGGCCAACTCCGAAAAGTCTGGCCGGTCATTAAGGACATGCTTATTAGGCTTTTTTTTTGGTGTGCTTTTTTTGGACCGAAAACCTTGTTTTTTCGCGTGCGCGTTCTTTGTCAAAACAATCCGTTTTTCGGAAGTGTTTTTTTTGCCGAAAATCTTGGGAGGGAGGGGGGGGAGGGGGGGAAGAATTTTGGGATGCGCTCTTACTCCGAGGTGGCTTGAACTTGACTTGCGTTGCTGCATGGCCAAAAGGACCCCCAAAGAAGAAAGTCAAGAGGGAAGGGGCGGGATCCGCTTGGGCAGAAACATGCAGCAGGGGAACTTGGCAGCCTACTGGTTACAATTCGGCGATCAACCCACCAGCAGCACCCGGCACAAGAGGCACTGGACCACAGTGCAGCTCCTGAAACTGATCGCGGCTTCAGTTCGATGTCTTCTCCTGATCAACATAACGTGGCCACGCAATCATCGGCGTTGTGTATGTCTACGCAGATGTTGAATGCGATTCTTCGATCTTCGGATGCTTCGGCTTTCTCTACTGAGGATCTCACGCGTCTTCAAGCAGGGATCTGTCAGCAGCTGTCGGATCGCGCGCGTCAAGCGTCCCACCAGCACCAACCAGTACGTACTTCTCGGGGCGTTGAACCACCTGAGTCTATTGGGGTCGCTGATCCATATCTACCTGCGAGCCAACCATGCAGCTCTACCAACAAGGGGAAGCCTATCTTCGAGCTAGTTGCTGAATAGATTGATGCGTTTTGATCGTGGCACAAAAAGGGTGCTTTCACATGCTCTTGCTTTCATGTGTGTTTGTTGGTTGTGCATGGTGACTGTTTCCTTGCTAGCTGGATCGGAACCTGTGGTACGCCCTGTCTTTCACTTCGACATGGACACAGATGATGCAACTCGGACGTCGCCCCGGACTGACGAGCAGCACCCATGGCTCGAATATTCCGTCTGGCAAGGTCAGGAGCGGGTGCGGATCTACACTCCGGGACAACTTCAGCTGTGGCACCCAGAAGAGGAAGTGCCTGACCTGCCAGACAACTTGTTTCGGGAGTGGAAACGGGATCCAGATGATGGGACTTGTGAACCAGGTCAAGCATGGACAATTCGAGACTGGCAACATCAAGGTTATCAACGGATATTGTCCCGCTATGCGTCTTTCTCCACCCATTATGCTCCGGATCAACAACTTGTTGACGTGCAAAATCCGGACATCATCCAGGTCGAGGAAACGTTCACCTACGCCCCACCCATGTCTGACGGTGCACATCCGTCAGAAATTGTGGTGGCAGGGTATTCTGCCACTCCGCACACACACACGCCCCTCTGTGAGGGGCGAAAATTCTCTTTTTCACTGCCGGAAGATCACATGCTCAACTCCTTAACTCCTTAACGTCTACCAAAATATCCACAGCGGCGGGGAGAACGAGAAATTGCACGCTCTGTACGATGCCGCTCAGAAGACGGGGACGAAGGATCACGCAGGGGGCTTGAGGCTTCTCATCAGGACTCAGGCCAACGAAGACGCCTGATGAGAAGTGCGATGCAATCCGGGACGCTGGATTGTGTACTTGTAATGGTTGTGCAAAGTCCTTTTGGCCCGCTGTTTCCCTCGCTGTAAGTGCTTCTTGTTGCTTCTGTAGCGTTTTCGATTCTACCGGAAAGCCAAGCGTCTTGCAAGCCGAAAATTATTGCACTCGAGACTTATCAGTTGTACTCGAGACTCATCAGTTGTACTCGAGACTCATCAGTTGCACTCGAAAGATTAGCACCCTCCATTTGGAGTTTAAGTGTGTGTTTTGCGGGGGGGCAGTTTAAATGGTGTGAGGGCTGCCGGGAGACCAATCATGGCTTGTGCGAGCATGTGGAAGAAAAGGCTGTCGACAGAGTGACTCAGTACTCGGCATAACCACTAGTTTTGACCAGGGCAGTCTAGAAGGCTGCCGGTGCATGGTTCGCCATCATTGAGAGCCACCGGACATGTGGTAAGGCTTGGTCCTTCTCTGACCCACTGTCACTTCCCGTTGACTCTTGCTCGATTTGACTTGCGTGATGTGAGCCTCGAGCCAGGATATTCGGGCGCCAGATGCGCTGCCTTCCAACCCGAGGAGTGCGGCCCAGGCGAACGGATCTGGGACAATGGGAGAGTCTGTCGGTGGAATTCAGAAGAATGTTGGAGGCAAAGGACGCTTTCTAGGGGCCTGAAAATACTGCCAGGACCTTGGCTTGAATCCAGGGATTGTGGAGGTCCAAACAGCGCGGTTCCCTCTGCAACTTGGTTGCACTGTGCAAAGAGGGCATGCCCCCATTCGACAATGACAAGTCCAACAAGTTGCTCAAGTCCATGTTCAAAACCACCCTAGCGCCCAAAGTCGGTAGGTGTCCCTTGGTTTTCACCACCTTTCAACAGGTTGTTCAAGTTCCTGTTCAAAGTTATTCTACCACCCAAGATCGGTTGACTTCCTGCTGGCTTCCCTTCAACATCATCCAACAAGTTGCTCAAGTCCATGTTCAAAACAACCTACCGCCCAAAGTAGGTTTGGAGTTTTGAAGTAGATTCCGATTGTTGAGCAATTGAAATCAAATCTAGGTTGCGCTGCCGAAAAGTCCGTCCAATCCCCTATGTTTTGAGTGCGGGGTTCTCTCGTCGCATTCCGTTCGGCGAGGTAAAGCTCGCGGCGGAAGTGCAGGCCAAGGCCCGAACCAGCACAAACAAACCAAATCTACCCTTTTCAAGTAGTCAGGTTGGGCAAAGTAAGTGTCATAATTACACGAGGCATGCTGCACTCCTAGTAAAGGACCTAGAAATCGTGCCAACGCCCTGTTTATGGCAACTGAGATTCAAATTGTTTGCTGCCGGAGGATGGCACGCGGTCAACAAGCTCTGACTCTTGGAAGAAGGTCGAAGGTCCGAACGGGCGAAAAAAGTTACGTGCCAAGGCGTGGCTCGTGTTGTCCTCGAAGTCGCTTTTGGCCTTTGACCTTGTTCTGAAGTATCAGCTTTCGACCTTTAACCTGTTTATGGACTTCCGGAGAAAAAAGTTTTGGCCTTGACCTTTTTCAGAACTTTTGAAGAGTCAGCTTTTGACCTTTACGTTTTCTGGACTTTCGTAAAAACAAGTTTTGACCTTTTACATTTTTTGAACCAGTGGAAAAAACAGGTTTCAGACCTCTGGCCTTATTGAACTTTTCAGAAGTCAAGTTTTGACCTTGACCCTTCTCCAAACTACAAGTTTTGAAAAAAAACAGTTTTCCACCTTTGATCTTCCGTTTTTTTTAAATCACCTCCTTTGTTCGTGCACTTGTTTTGCCTTTTTGTTCCTTGCACTTTTGTCTCGCTTTTTTTCTTGCACTTTTTGTTCTCGCTTTTTTCCCTTGCACTTTTTTCTCGCCTTGACCTTCCCTTGCACTTTTTTTTCTTCTCGCCTTGCCCTTCCCTTGCACTTTCAATTTTCATGTTTTTCCTTGCAACTTTTTCCCACTGCTTTTCCTCACACTTTTTTCTCACTTTGATGTTTTTAGGGGTATACAAGAAATCCGGTCTTATAAGCCTTTTTTACGTCATAACTCTGAGCAGACACTTTTCCCGGAACCACTTCTCCCGCGTGTGAAGGTTTCGCCGTACACGTGTGTGCATGGTTTGCAGGGCGAGCCCAAATCTAGATTATTGCCAGTTTGCTGCGCACACCATGGCAGCGCTTTGAGCGCCTTTGAGGGGTTCCTATTTCTTGTTGGGGCCAATTTTGTACGTGTTCCCACACACCCACCCGTCCACCCCACCCCACCCCACCCCACCCCAACCCAACCCCACCCCACCCCACCCCACCCCACCCCACCCCACCCCGCCCCGCCCCACCCCGCCCCACCCCCCCACCCCACCCCACCCCACCCCACCCCACCCCCACCCCACCCCACCCCCACCCCACCCCCACCCCACCCCCACCCCACCCCCAAAAAATAGTAAAAGGAGAATTCAAAGAATTATTCTTTCTACTATTTTTTCTCCAACAGCAACACAACAAACAGAAAACAAAATCCAGAACAACAAGCAAACAAAATAAATAATCACAACCAGCAACAAAAATATTTAATCACAGCATGCGACATAAAATAATTCAAACAAGCATACCAACAAAACAGCAACACTCTAAATCATCAAAGAACCCAAACTCAAAAACACACATCAACAAAAATCAAAGCAACATACCAACAAAAAATATCACAAGAGCATCAAACAAAACAAAAACAAACAGCCAAAGCACGAAAAAATTGAAGAAGCATACCAAGTCTAAACAACGCACTTTGAAAGAGATAAGCAAATTATAATAATTCAATCTTTACAAACGATAAATATATTACAATTATAACATATAATATTTTACATGTGATAATCATAGTATGATTAATAATTATGGGTTACATTTATAGTCAGGAAAAATGTCTTCAAATATGTAATCTACATATTTATCAATATCGCCAATGTCTATATATTTGATATTGTCTTTTCCTATTATTGAATAAATATATTCCCAGAAAAACAAATTAACTAGTAGCCATACTTGATATTTAGTGTTGTAGTAATACCATACATGATATTTAGTTATTCTAAATTCATTCAAGACCTTGTTTATTTTATCTGTGCTTAATAAATGCCAATCAATCTCTTCAAACAAATCACGAAATTCTTTAGCAAATGATTTATATGGTTTAATGCTTAGTTCTCCTCCAAACCTTTTAATCAAATCTTTATTATTAAAAAACTCATCAATTTCTTGTTCAAATGACTCTCTATCAATTTTATGACAAAAATATACAGGAAATCTTTTGTGATATTTCATAAAGAATTTCAATTTTAATTGAAACTTTGTATATCCCTTATCCTTATATTCTTCAACAAACAACTTTTCAAGGTCTCTTGTTATACAGCATTGATTACAATATACATCATATTCACTTATTTTATTACACAGATCAGCAGGTAATAAGTTATACAATGTAAAATTAATATCATTCTTTTTATTATTACAACATTCACACTTACTATAATTAAACAGTGTCATGTTTCCTCTTAATATATTAAGTCAATATTTCTTTAAGTCGTTTTCAAAGAATTTATTTTATGATGGCCATAAGCAAGTGAGTTTACACTATCTATCCAATATTTTTTGTTTTCATAACTACTAAGAGCAATTTTTTTAGTTGTTATACTAAAAATTCTGTGGTTTTTACTTCTAATACTATTAAATGACTTATGTATAACCTCATTAGTTTTTAGAACCGTCTCAAACTCTTCATATTTCATTTGACGTCTTACTGTGCCTTTTGCTATGCCCTTACATTTCTTATATTTTTTATCATCACCATAAACTGAGTAAGCATAGCATTTAGGACGAAGAGCTATAAACCCTATTATTATTTTACTTTTTAATTCATCCTTAAATTTACCTAATACTTTCTTGTTATTATCATCATAACATTTATGTTCCTTAGGATAATCTGAAAAATCTAATTCTTTTTTAATTGTATTAAGGTCTTCATAAATGTCATTGGTTTTAGTATGAAATACAAAACTATCAGTATCAGTATACACCATTTTAATATTATCTCCATATTTAGGCTTCATAACGTCATAATAAAATTTATACATGTGTTGCTTACTCAAATCTAAAATACTCATCCCAATAAATATAGGTTTGTCTAGTTTCAACTTTGTTTTTTGCTTTTCAACTCCAACCAAATTTTCATTAATGATATGACTATGTTTGAAGTTAGGATTACTTACACACTTCATATATCTAGTTTCATCACTCACAACTTCAAAGTCTAAATGTTTTCGCTTATCCTCCATTGTTTTTCCAAATATGGCATTGTTCATCAATTTGTAAACATCTTTCTCAAAATAATTTCTAGCATTCTTCCTCTTCTCAGTGTTAAACTCAATGTAAGGTTTTAGAACTTCTTTTTGTTCAAATTTAATTGCTCTATGAATTTTCTTAAGTTTTAACCCTTGCTTCAAATAAAATTGCAAGGTTCTTATATGGATTACATATTTTTCTTTATCATTTCAGTTCAATATTAATTTATTTGTTTTCTCATCCGTAGGTTTTTTATGATTTAAAAATTCATAAATTTCAATTTGTTTATCTGACAGCATGTCGGCTTTAACATTCATAACCTCAGGTGCCATTGGATAGTCATTGTGTAAATCGTGTAATTCTTTAGGATATTCTAAATCCACTTCTAGAATATATCCAATATTATTATTCTTGTAATTAATAATGTCTTCTTCTTTTAATGTATCATCCCATTTTAGATTTTTATATGGCAGTTTTTGTATCATGCTTAACCCGTACAAATTATTAGCATCAAAATAGTTAATATAACTACTTTCTTTATTTTTATCATATTCTTCTTCCATGTATTTATTATTTGCTTCAACTTTTTTAGTAGAAACCATACACATCCCGCCTCTAAGTCCCGCTTCTATCATTTCATACATTTCTTGGTCATATATTAAATCAATCTCTACACCAGTCATTTTAAGCATAGCATCAAAAGCAAAGTTAGGCAATGTATAATAATAAGCAGGGTCCAATCCATAATATTTCATACATACATCTCTAAAGTTTTCGAAAATGTCAGTCAATAATAATACATCAGTTTTCAAATATAAATCATGGTATTCACCCATATTCTTAATGTCGAAATGCTTCCATATAATTTTTGCCCTTTCATAGTCGTTAACACTTATACCTTCTTCACTCAACTGACTATAAAAATCATCCTTACTCGGTAATTGCTCATCATCAAATTTATCAAATGAATTCATGTAGTCATAAGGATAAACGCCTTTATCAGTTAATAAATCTAGACATTTCTCACTCTTAATCAAATCATTTTTACTACTAAACCTAAAATTATCTTTCCAGTCTTCACGCAATAACCATTTACTTTTATCTTCTTCATCTGTATTATCATACTTACTCATTGAAACTAACTTATCTAATGAAGCAGTTAAAAACCCAAAAGTGTCTTTAACACTCAAACTTTCAAAACTGATATTAATAAATTTTTCACTGTTCTGAGCGATGACACCTATTTTATTGTTGTTACTTAATTTATCCGCATTTTGAATAATTAAATGACCGTCATAATTTTTCATGTTATGAAAGAATACTGGAATTTTAAAATATCTATTACAAAAATTAAGATTGCAAACATTATGAGCACAACCTCTATACTTACCTGTAAAATGACAATGGTCTCTAACTTTTCTATATTTCTCTGCTTCCTTGGCATTCTTATAGTTCATTCTAAACTTATCCCCACAAATAAAGCAGTTTTTAGCATTTTTAAAATCTTCTTTGTCTTCATCAGTCATGTCTATTTTTTCGTTTTCTCCCATCTTCTCCTTTACTTCTGCCCTAATGTCATTAAGTTTTTGACAAAACACATCAACAGCATCTTTACCGCGATACATAAATTCATAATTTGTATTATCAACAGCATTAACCATATTAAGCATAAAACCACATGGTTTATGCTCTTGATAAGAAAAAGTGTTTTTATCTTCATCTTCATCAGGTTTTTTCAGTTCCTCTGTCAAACATTCAAAATCAGCATATACAACAAAAGGACATCTTAACTTTTTGAAGTGATGCTTAAAACTAACTTTCTCATAAGGCTTAGCCATTACTATTTGTTGACCATCAACTTCCATGCATCCACTATCATAATGTTTATTTAATAATTCTTCATTTCTAAATCCATGATTACAATATTTACAAAAATAGGACTTACCATTATGATTACTTTTTTGATTATTAATAAGTCTGCTCAAACTTTTTATATACACATAATGACTGCAATCCTCATCATCAGCTCTTAATAAATCAACATGAAAAGAAGCATCTTTATTTTTCAATTTTCTACTAATAACA